TTTCAGCAGGAATGGCCCAAATTCACGGCGCTGTGTTGGCATCCCAGCCCCGCTCCCGGTCCTTCCCAGCCGTGTTCAAATGCCCGGGGATCCTGGATCCCCCTGAAGGTGCAGCTGGTGGGGCACTCCAGAGCGTGCAGCAGGGGACACCTCTGTCCCTGAAACTCCCCCAGAATGAGAGGAATGCCGCGGCTTCCTTTGGGTGACACCGGGGRTGTAACAGTGCAGAGCAGTGCTGAGACAATGCAGAACATTTGCCTCTCCTTTTATGCCTTCAGCCTTTTGTTTCTCTGATTTCAGAGARCTGTTGTCAAGTGATGCGATGAAAGACTACAACAGAGCTCGAGTTTACCTGGATGAGAACTATAAATCACAGGAACATTTCACGGTAAGTTTCATTATTTCACAAGTTTAGTTTAACCAAAGKTGAATTTCTTCTGTTTGGAATTTTTGACCCATATGGGGCTGTGAGCTGTTTCCATCCTGATGATGATTATGTTTTTACTAGTACCTTGTTTTGCTGCTGTGAGTATTTACTCTGTGGCATGTGTATGTGCTGGTTTCACAGAGGTGCATCCTTGTGAAACGAGCAGGATATCAGTGTGCACAGACAGTCTTTGGKTTAGAATGGTTGTCAAAGGCCTTTTCTCTTCCATGACAAACCTTGGTGGCTCAGAACCACCTTCCACCCAGAGCCTGGCAGTGTCTGGCAGTGTGGGGTGGTGCCAGCGCTGGGTGTGACAAGCTGGTGACAAGCTGGTGACAAGCCTGGCGAGGGCTCAGAGCTGTGTAAGGGATCTGCAGAGCTGGCTGTCAGCCTGGCTGGCCTGGGGACACGGTGACAGGAGCCAGAGCCCCAGAGTGCATTGGCACTGCAGTGCTGTTCAGGTAAAACTGTGCAGGGCTGGTTTTCTGCAGGGAACAAGGGCTGTGTGGTGGTGCCAGGGCTGTGTGGTGGTGCCAGGGCTGTGTGGTGGTGCCAGGGCTGTGTGGTGGTGCCAGGGCTGTGTGTTGTGCCAGCACATCTGCTGTTTGTCTGTCCAGGCATCACTCTGTGTTGGACAGGGAGGAACAGCTTTTTGGAGGTGAATCAGTGACATCTCCCTCTTCCCAGGGCAGAGGATTCCTTCTCCCCCTGTGTGCTGCTCGGTGGCCCTGGTGGCTCAGAGGAGCCAGTTTGAGACCTGGTGCTGCCCACAGCCAAAAACAGTGCTTGGACACAGTTCAGACAATAAAAAAACAACTGCCCAGCACACAGACAATAAAAAAACAGCTGCCCAGCACACGGGCAATAAAAAAAACAGCTGCCCAGCACACACACAAACTCTGCCTTGGAGGCATATAAGCTTGGGGAGTAAGAACCTGGAAAGGTTTTTATTTCTTCATTTTTTAATTACCATCTAGAAGCCCAGATACCATGAAACTGGAGAAGCATCAGCATTTTTTTTCTCTTCCTCATCAAAGAAGATAAAAACAATTGGATGATGTTTTATGTTACTATTACTGCGAGGAAATGCTGTGTGCTTGGAGTGTTTTATGCCTTCATTTTACACTTCAGCAGSAGTGTCTGGGAACCAAAGCCCAAGAACCTGGAAAAGAGAGAGGGTGCCCTTCCACACTGAGCTCCTGAACCTTCTGACTCCTTGGAGTCTGCTCTTTGGCACTGAATGCTCACAGTGCTCAGCCCCAGTTCTGCTTACAGAATGAAAGATGCAGAGGAATGGTTTTTCACACACATGATTTGCACTGGCASATCTCCAGCTCCTCTGCTCAGTGTGTGTGTGACTGTCTGAGCAGGGGTTTCACATGTGCTGTGTCCATTTAGGGTAAAGTTTTGTTCTTATCTGCAGTGTGGTTTGCCTTGCACCATGTCATGTGTCTCCTGTTTCCTGGTTAGTTCTGTTTGATTGCAAAGTTCTATAACTTCTGTGAACTTTTTCCATGCCTTCTAAGGCACARACTTGGCAGCAGATGGTAGCCTTGTCATTGCTATATTGTTACCTCTATGGAATATAAATGTTTATCATGTGTATTGTCGTATAATGCCATTTTCTTTAGAAAGGGAGAAGCTCAAGCAGTTACAGTTTAGCTAACCTTTATCCCTACTGCTCTCACATCCCCTTTTCTAGCAGTTCTGGCATCGCTTCCTCTGTGAGGCTTTCCTTGGCTTGGCTCTGCAAAACCAAACCAGGTTTTGCTGCCCACAGTTACTGAGCGTGGCTGTGACAGGACTGGCAGCAAGATGTGAGCCAGCGCTGTCAGCAGCCTCTCTCTGCAGCTGACAGCAGCATGGCTGCAAATTCCACAGGAGGAGTAACAAACCAGTGTCATAATACGGTGTCTCGAGTGGAGAGATTCSGTTTTGAAAACTAGTAATTCACTTTGTATTAAGGATCAAAATAGTTCATTTTGCATCACCCCAGACATAAAGCTTCGTGTCAGGTTTGTCATTTACGGTCGCATTTACCAAATCTGGTGTAGGTGTAGAAGCAGCTGCTTTTAGGTCTGGGATTTGCGGGGAGAGGGGTGAGTGCTGTGATGAGAGAGGGCACTGTGATTCAGGGGATTGTGTTTGTTGTGTCAAAGGGTGAGACTGTGGAATTTTCTTCCTCAGAGCAGTGAGTCCGTGGCCAGGGAAGGTCTGGAGCAGTCGGTCCCTGTCCCAGGGAGAGGGGACAGCTCAAGGATCAGGGGCTGCACAGACAGGGACTCCTGGCCCAAGAATTTCATTAAAGCCAGGTTGGGAGAGCAGGGGGGTCCCACAGGGCACAGGGATGAAGCAGGTCCTGTCACAATTTAGAGAGGCACAGCTCTGTCAGATTTTAAAATGACCTGAAG